CCGGGTAGCAGCTCAGGCAGTGCATGGGTGCTGGGCCCTGCAAGGGCCATCTCGGGCCTACTGCAGCAGATGTGGGCAGATGTGCTCGGCAGGGAAAAACGATGAGAAATGCAGCAAAGCAAGCTTCCTTTTGCTTTTCTGTTTTCGAGCCTAAAGTAAGCTCTTAATTCCTATGGTTCCACCCCCAGCCTGGAGGCCTGGACCGCAGCCCTGGAAACTCCTCTTCAGCCTGTGTAGGGTGGGGCCATACATCTGTTGCAAATCTCCCCAGATGACTCTGATTGTAGCCGGGGCCAAGACCACTGCCTTGACCCTTGAATCATAGTGTCAGCTGAGCCTGGCTCCCTGCAGTGCCAGCAGAGTGTTAACAGACTGATTGATTCCCTCCCAGAGGAGAGTCAGAAACTCTGCATTTAAACAAAACAATATCCCAGAAAGAATGAATGTGGCTAAATTCTTCATGCCAGGGGGTGTCAGCCCTTTTCCCTGGTGATGAGATGTCACTGGTAGGTGGATCTTGGGATGTTAGGGGGAAGAAGGGCCTCAGGGCCCACCTGGGCCAAGGGCTATGTTTCGTGGGTAAGGACACTGTGGCTCCACGGTGCTAGGTGACCTGCCTGTTGTCCACAGCAAGCCAGTGCCGAGCTGGGGCTGGAACCCAGGCCTCCCGACCCCGTGCCTGTCCTCCCTCCCCCGGCTGGGGCTCTGGGGAAGGGGAGGCAGCTGAGCCTGGATCTGCCACCCCTCCCTAGTCCTTCCTCCTGTCCTTCCAGGCCGAGGAGCCGGAGGCTGGCAAGTCCGACGAGGCCGAAGACGACGAGGATGAGGTGGACGACCTGCCGAGCGCCCGCCGCGCCTGGCGGGGCCCCATCTCTCGCAAGGCCAGCCAGACCAGCGTGTACCTGCAGGAGTGGGACATCCCCTTCGAGCAGGTGGAGCTGGGCGAGCCCATCGGGCAGGGCCGCTGGGGCCGCGTGCACCGGGGCCGCTGGCACGGCGAGGTGGCCATCCGCCTGCTGGAGATGGACGGCCACAACCAGGACCACCTGAAGCTGTTCAAGAAGGAGGTGATGAACTACCGGCAGACCCGGCATGAGAACGTGGTGCTCTTCATGGGGGCCTGCATGAACCCGCCCCACCTGGCTATCATCACCAGGTAACCCAGCCCCTGCCCTCGCTGGGGTGGCCGCCTCGACCTGCCCTTCCCCAGGGGCCCTGTTATTTATGTGGATGCCCTGGAGGGTGTGGAAGTTCTTTTGTTTTTAAATTTGTTTTTCAGTTATGGTTGACACACAATATTATATTAGTTTCAGGTGCACACCATAGTGATTGGACATGTATACACCTTACTAAGTACCCACCTGGCACCATACATAGTTATTAAGACATTGTTGACTCTATTTCCTATGCTGTCCATACATCGCATTCCCCTGACTGTTTTTATTTATTTGTTTATTTTTAAACATATCTTTATTGATTTCAGAGAGAGGAAAGGAGGGGGAGGGGGAGAGAGAGAAACATCAGTGATGAGAGTCATTGATGGGCTGCCTCCTGCACGCCCCCGACTGGGGATCGAGCCCGCAACCCGGGCATGTGCCCTGACCGGGAATCGAACCACGATCTCCTGGATCTGAGGTCGAAGCTCAGCCACTGAGCCCAGCCAGGTAGCAATTCATAGTTCTTAATCGCTTTACTTTTGGAGGATGTGGAAGTTTTAACGTAGACAGGTACAAAGAGTCGGGTATTATTTCCCCGTCATGTAATCCCACTGACATTAAAAATTAAACAAATAGAAGATGCCTGAGGAGAGTGTCCCAGTTTCTCTGGAGACATAAACGCAGGTGGTCTAACTCCCAATACGTGGCTATACCACCGTGAGGGTCGAGAGACACTTTAATTCAATAAGACCGAGCCAATAATTCAAGTTTCAAGAAGGGAGACAGAGACAAACATGAAGCAAATCACACAGGGTTTATTTACCAGTTCCCAATGGTTCTTGGCACCAGCAGGCCACCCGGAGGATCCGCTGAAAGACACACACAAGGCCTGGGGGTGCGGCCGCGACGGCGTCGGTCACTGCAGCCCTCTGGAAGTTCTCCTAGAGAGGTGCAGGGCAGAGCAAGGCAGGGTCAGCTTTCCCGGAGCTGGGGATGAAGTCTGTGGAGGGCAGACAAGCATCCAATGATGTGGTCGAAAAGCCCCTGCTTTTAACAGCTGGGTTGAAGGTGTGGTGCGTCTTCAGTGTGTCTTATCAGGGTCCTACAGAGCGCGGGCCTGCTTGGAAGCCAGGGCTACAAAGTGTTAATCTTATCGTGGCACGCAGGCCTCACAATTACACTTGGTCACACAAGATGAAGTTACTTATTTCAAATCTAATACACACATCAAACTTATATTCCTGACTCTAATACACACACAAATCTATTTCTATAACAGAGAGAGAAAGCTCAAATGTTCCAGAAGGGTACAAAGTCAAGTCCAGTGTGTTCCTACCCCAGCAGGGTGCTTTGCCCCACATGTGGGTACTGTAAACAGTGCCTAATCATGCCTTCCATTAGAATAAAGAAGTTTGCATATGCTCAGACTTTTAAACTATTTATCTATTGCTTTGTAAAAATACACAGCAAAGATCATGCTGGCTCGCACCTTGCTCTCTTCACTTGAGTGCAGGTCTGAGGTCTACGGAATTTTTAACACTTGCACAATATTCCCATGACGTAGCTGAACCCAGTGGTGTGCTGGTGTGTTTACTAGCTCTTGGGCAATTGGGAGGGAAGCCCTAGTTTGTGGTATCTGCCAATTCTGGTGGTATAAATACTCCCACCACAGTTGGTTTCAAGCTACTGACACGTTGTCATTGAAAGTGGAGTGGAGTTAGGAAGAGAGTCATACAGCCGGGTTCTGGGTTCTCCCTTGAGCCAATCATTGGTTGTCCCCTAATCTAACCAGTCCTCGTGACAGAGTGTCCATATCTTGGTGACATTCTGTGAGTGTGTATGCTGGGCTGGTCAGAGGACGTAATAACATTTTAATACATACTGTCCATTTCTAGTCCAGAAGCTGTTCACCATTTTCCTCTCCCCTCATCACTGCATGAGTGTCCCCCCCCTCAGCGCCAGGGTGTGTGCAACTGAAACATTATTGCCCATGGCTTTGAAAAGGTTGTTGTTGGGTGTTTACTTCTAAAATCAGGAAAAAGCAATATGAGGTTAGTCAAGAAATTTTGGAATAAAATGGAGGTTTTAGGAAGAAACTAAAAACCACTTTAATCCCACCAGCCAGGAGAACCCTCGTTAATATTCTGATGACATTCTCTGTAGCTAGACGCTGTGCTTTAAAAACGCATTCCCCTCAAACAAACTGTATTTATTAAGTAAAAATTAATTTCCATTTTGCTTGTTTATCAGAAACAGACATAAGTAACCACCCTCCAGACTCCTGAGCAGAGTGAGGTCACCAGGCCACCACACCCAGGGACAAAACCCCAGCCCAAAGCATGACAACATGGTTCCTTAGGCAGCCTTACTGTGGTGACCCCAGCTCCACAACTGCCACGTCCCAGCCCCCAGCGCTGTTTGTCCATCCATCATCTCTCCTCCCCTTACCCCCCCCCAGTTCCATAAAAGATCCAAGCCTGCTTAAAGGAAGTGCATATAAGAACATAGCCAAGCATTCATTAACAAAGTTTAGCATGCTTCAGACTATTCTGAAGGCACTGGAACACAGATAAGGAACTAGCAGCCAATATTCCAGATGCCCTCATCTGGTTCTCTGAGTTTCTGAGGCTCCAGAATCTTAACTCCTTGAAGACTTTTCCTAAAAACTAGCCCCTTCCTCAGGTGGCTTAAGTCACCTTCTCCCTGGAGCAGGAAAATGAGCCGCACATTCTCTCTGGGTCCTTCCTCACCTTGGGTTTTAGGGGTCACTGTAGATGGAGACCCCAGAATGTGGGCCCTTATCCAGTAATCACACTGACACCCCTGACAGCCACGTCCACCCCTCCCCCTCCTCGCACACACTCCTCTATTGTAATAAAATCTCTGTGATCAGAAAACAATAGAAACGATCGTGAAAATCATTACAGTGTGCCCCAGAGCCCAGTGTTGCCCTGTCATAGCCCTAAAAGGCCAGATTCCTCCCGGAATGAGTTTGAGTGGGCGTGTTTCTGCCTGGAACCCCTGAGGGTGGGCTGCTGTGGGTCACCGGGAGCCTAGATGAAGAGTTTCCTCTTCTGGGGTAGGCAGGCCCTGGCCTCCAGTGGGGTGCATGTGAGTTTGTTTTTGTACAATCAGGCCAAGCACAGAAGGAATGGGCAGCAGGCTTGATTAAGAGCAAGGATTCTGGCACCCACAGTGCAGGGGCTAGAGAGAGCCCCCCAGAGGCGAGCAGGCACAGCTGTCCCCCGGCTCCTCCCAGCTCCACTAGGGCCAGGGTCAGGCTGCACTGGCCCTAGACCTCTGCCTGACCCACCACTCTCGGCAGCTTTTGCAAGGGGCGGACGTTACACTCGTTTGTGAGGGACCCCAAGACATCGCTGGACATCAACAAGACCAGGCAGATCGCTCAGGAGATCATCAAGGTAAACGGGCATCCTCCGACTCTGCCTGCTTGTATCAGGGTGGTGGCGGTAGCCTTGTCTCTCCCCTCAGCTGGGGTGTCTCAGGTGGGACCCCATTATTCCTTCCCTCCATCTGTGTCTTGTTCACTTGGAGCTGAAAGCTGGAAATAGGTTAGCAGTGATGGAATGGAATTGGTCAGGGAAGAGCACAGCAGGCTTTAAAGACAGATGGCCTGAGACAGAATCCTGCTCACACCAGCTGTGTGACTTTAGGCAGGTTGTTCAGCCTCTCTGAGTCTTGGCTTCCTCCCCTATAAAATGGGGATACCAACATAACCTCTCTCGGTGGACTGGCACAAGGGTAACACAGGTTTAACCTACAGAGAGAGCATTGGGCACAGGGCCGGCCCTGGGTAAGAGTCTGTAAGCATTGTTGTGGGGGTTGGGGGAAGCACCCACACTTTCTGCCTTGAAGTCTCCAAATCCAAGTTTCATGAGGACAGGTCCTCCAGCCCAACTCAGGCAATCTTTTTTCTTTCATCTTTTTAAAGTAGTTAAATAAAGACGGGAGAAAAACGTATCTGTTGTTTTATTTAGCAACAGGTCCAGATGAAAACTAGACTACTGCGGGGTAGGAGTCCCTCTTTTCTTGTTTTTTTCGTTGAAAAGCTTCCTCAGCAGCTCCCCGCAAGTTGGGGTCCCTCTCCTTCCTTTCCTTTCTCCTCCCTCTCGCCCTCCTTCCATCCGTTTTGGGTGTATGACTTTTAAAAGGAAAAGATCAAAAAATTACAGTGACTTTATGGGCAAACCAAGATTTCCACTTGACATTTCCTTGCGGCTGAGCTAATGAACTAAACTTTTGAAGTCCCCAAAACCAAAATACCACATTCATGCCTTTATTGGGCCTCTCATTTCAGAGAAGTTGGGGAGAGCTGCATTGTCACGCGTACTTAAGGTGTCCCCAGCTCCCCCTCTGCCTCCCCCACACTGTTCTCTCTCCATATTGTCAGAACACTGAGCCATCGGGAAGATTCCGGGGCAGAAGAGAAAAGCCACTTAAAGGCGCTGTAACTGCGGAGCCGGAAGCCGCCTCTGCTGGCCTTTTAGATTTTTATCCTGCTGAGAAACTGCCCCCTGCCCTTTCGCCTCCTGCTGGGACCTTCTAAGCCACTTCCTTTTGCTTCACCTCTGATATCTGGAGGCTCAAAATATAACAGGGCCTGGCTTTGGTTAGACAGTTTTCTGTCTGGGGGCCACTCAGGAAACACTGAAATTATGGGAAGGAGGAGAGTTTATCCCCGATCCAGGCGCTTTATATCCTGTCTCTTTAAGCTTGTCTTTTGAGGTGGTGGCATCTGTTTTATAAATAAGGCTCAGAGAGGTACAGCGACTTGTCCTCTGTCACATAACTGGTCCCTGTTCCATGCAGGTGGGGCCTTTGGCTCTCAGGCCACTGAGGAAGGCTCTGCACTTGCTTTGGTTTGGGCAATAGGCTGACATTGTAAGAAGGATGGTCTCGCATTCAGGACAGAGTTTGGGGGAGGAGCACATCACTCTTCCCTGGAACTCCCTGCCCCCTGGCAGGATGACAGCGCTCAGCAGGCCTGAGGGAAGCGGTCACAGCAGACCCTGTGCCCTACTGGCTTTCGCAGAAGAGCATCTGCCTTGTGTAAACTCTTCTTTGACTTTCTCCAGCCCCACTTGGACTGAGTTCTGGCCTCGGCTAAGTTCTGTCTGGTCCTGCCTCACACTCATCCTTTCTGCTTTCTAAACGGGGCTTATTTACCTTTCTCCCCCTAACCCCAAGTAACTTTAAAGCCAGAGAGATTTTGTGTAATGGGTGACATCCCTCGTGTGGGAGATTGGGAGGTGGCTTTACATGTACCTCTTTCTGAGCAGGCAGGGACGGGCGTTTCAGTCACAGCATCTGGCCCCTGTTCCCAAGGGCATCAGGGTACACGGAGTCCTGGGTTTGGCGTTAGAAGACAGCTTTGACCTTCATGCAGTCATGCTTATGTCAGGTCACCCATGTCCCACACGCCTACCTGCCAGTCAGCATTCAGTCCAAGCAGAGCTTTGGTTAGAAATCACCCCCCTCCACTCTTTTGCTTGACAGATGAGGAAACTGAGGCTTAAAGAAGTTGCATGTCCAGGGCCGCACAGCAAATTGGAATCTGAGTAGAGGTGGAACTTGGGCCCTGGATTTCGGCCCTTAGTCCAGGACTCCTATGATAACAGATATGGGGACTTCCCAAACTCAGGGACTCCCTCTGGGAATTCCTCTCTGTTCCCTCACCTGAGCCCTTGCCCAGCCTGAGGGTGGAGGTGGCTGGTTAAAGCCTGATGGAGACTCCAGATCACACGGGTCCTATATGACTTGATACAGATGGTCTCATCGTGCCGTATATATTCCTGGCACCCACCCCCACTCATGCCCCCCTCCACCCGTCACACTTTACCTAAGTCTAAATGGGATTAAGTGAGGGGATCTGGGTAAGGCGTCCAGCTCAGTGCCTTGCCCAGGTGGGTGCTGAGTCGTCGTCACTCATCTCCCCTCCCCCTGACGCGTGCCTCGCTGTCTTCCAGGGCATGGGCTATCTGCATGCCAAGGGCATCGTGCACAAAGATCTCAAATCCAAGAATGTCTTCTACGACAATGGCAAAGTGGTCATCACGGACTTCGGACTGTTCGGGATGTCTGGCGTGGTCCGAGAGGGACGGTGAGTTGGCCGTGGGCACCTGGGATGCTGGGTGGCCTGAGTCCAGCTGGGGTCTGGGCACTCCTGCTGTCTGTGGCTGAGGAGCAGCCCTCCCTGCAGGAAAGGCCAGGTTTGCTTTGGCCCTGCCTTTGTGGTTCTGGTTCAGAATCCGATTCAGGTGATGTGCAGGTCCCTCGTACACTTGATTCCCAGACTGACCAACCCCATGGAGGCGGGGTCCCCTTACTCACATTTACCAACGTGGGCAGAGGACCAGGGTTCAAGTTCAAGGAGGAGCGTCAGGTGTTATTTCCCCAAATAAAGGGGAGGGGGGGAGAAAGGCTCCTCCCCTAGCATCTGGGGGACGGACCCCCAGGAGGCAGAGTGGCAGCTGGGGTGGAGAGCCAGCTCCAGGCCAGATCATGAGATGCACAGGCCGGTCTGATTTCCAGCTGCACAGAGATGTGTCTCCCGGGGCCGAGAACAAGGCACCTTCCAATGCAGCTCCCTGCCAGCACCCCTCCCTGCCTGGGTGTCTCTCTCCTGCAACATTCCCCAAAGCGCCGGTGCCTTTGCAAGTGCAGGCTCGGCGTGCTGCTTCCCTGCGCCCTGTGGGTGGCGCGCCAGCCCCGGGGCTGATGTGTGCCAGGCAAGCCTCTCTGCTGCCCACTGAAAGGCCTTGTGTCCTTTTGCTCCAACTTGGCCTCCAGGCGTGAGAACCAGCTGAAGCTGTCACACGACTGGCTGTGCTACTTGGCTCCTGAGATCGTCCGCGAGATGACCCCTGGGAAAGAAGAGGATCAGCTGCCATTCTCCAAAGCTGCTGACGTCTATGCGTTTGGGTGAGGAGGCCCCTCCCCCTGGGGCTCTGAGGCCAAGTGTGGCCAAAAAGAGGGCCCTGCTGGCCATCGGGGGCAAGGGAGGCGTGCTTGGAGCCCTGGCTCTGCTGCTGGTTGGGTGAGTGACCACATTGTTGACCTTCCCTTTCCCTACCTGTAAAATGGGAGAGTAATGGCACCTCCCCGGTAGGGTTGTCTCACCCGTTGCCCCATGAGGACGCTTACCAGAGCTAACTAAGAACTGTCCCTTTGGGAGTACCGGGGCACCCTGCCAGCAGCCTCTAGTGCCCCATGAAACTGACCAAAAGAAAAATAGCGAATACAGGGCAGGGCAAAAGGAGGTTTGCAGTTGTGAGTACACAAAACAGGTTATTCTTGTATTATTCTTTATTGGTTATTGTATTATTTTCCATACAAATAACTGTAAACGTACTTTTGCCCCGCCCTGTATAATGTGAGCCAGATATATAAAGTTTTCTCTTAGCCACATTAAAAAGGAAAACAAGTGAAATCAGTTTCAATCATATATTTTATTTAATTCAATATATCCAAAGTATTATTTCAACATGTAATCAAAAATTAAAATTTAAGGAGGTATTTTACCATACAGAGTTTTCAAATTCTGGTGTGTCTTTTACACCTCAGTTCCACTCTCCACATGTGAGTTGCTCAGTGGCCCTCACATTGGACATTGTGGCTCTAACAGCGAAGGTCCCCGTCCAGATAAGTCAGGAAAGGCTAGAGGACTCGCAGAGGCTGAGTGAGGCCTCACCCTGTAATCTCCTTCCCTCAGCAGTGGTCTCTTCCTCCCCTGACCTTATCATTTCCAAGCACTTAGGTGTGCCAGGCACTGGGCTTGGCATTTTTGTTGCTCCTCCAACAACCTTGGACGTAGACGTCAGCCCCCCTGAATTGACAGTTATACCAGGATCTGCTCAGAGCCTGGACTGCCTCAGACTTCCCAGCACAGCGGGGCCACAGATCCTCTAGTACCTGGGAGAGCCTCCAGGACACTGTCAGAGCCTTCCCTGAAGCCTGATGGTAAAGAAGGCTGGAGAAGGATCCTGGAGCCTCTGGCTGGGCTCCGGGCATTGTGGCAGCAGGACCCCTGGGTGTGAGCTGGGCTGAGCAGCAGTCCGGGAGCTCACGCTGCACGGATGGTCTCCACAGGACCGTTTGGTATGAGCTGCAAGCAAGAGACTGGCCCTTTAAGAACCAAGCCGCAGAGGCCTTGATCTGGCAGATCGGAAGTGGAGAGGGAATGAAGCGTGTCCTGGCCTCCGTCAGCCTGGGGAAGGAAGTCACCGTGAGTAGCCACCTGTTCTAGGAGAGGGAAGAAGGGCTAGAGGGCAGGGCGTGGGCACATGACATGGCAGCACTTGATTCACAAACCTGAGCAGTGGGACCAGGAGGCAGATGTGTGCCAGGCAGGCCTCTCCGCTACTGGCTAAAGGCCTGTGTCCTTTTATTATCTCACTGTTAACCTTTGTCTTTAAAACAAAAACAAACAAACAAAACTGGTGTGGCTCAGTTGATTGAGTGTCACAGTGTCCCATGCACTAAAAGGTCACCCATTTGATTCCTGGTCAGGGGTCAGGACACATGCCCTGGTTGCGGGTTCAATCCCCAGAAGGGGGCCAAATAGTTGTTTCTCTCTCACATCAATGTTTCTTTCTCTTTCTCTCCCTGCCCATCTTTCTAAAATCAATAAAAACATTTTTTTTAAAAAGACAAAGAAACATCTTTAATTAAAAAAAAAAAAAAAAGTGTGGCCTGGCTGGTGTTGCTCAGTTGTTGAGCATCGACCTAGGATACAGGAGATCACAGTTCGATTCCCAGTCAGGCCACATGCCCGGGTTGTGGGCTCGATCCCCAGCAGGGGGTGTGCAGGAGGAAGCAGCTGATCAATGACTCTCTCATCATTAATGTTTCTCTCTCTTTCTCCCTTCCTCTCTCTCCGAAGTCAATAAAAATATATTTAAAAAAAAAAAAAAGACTGGAAGGAAATAAAGATAATGGTTTTAATTGAATTATAAGACAAAAAGATAGTAAAGCCCCGTATGTTAACAAGGAAAGAAGATAAAACAAAAAGATCACTGCACAAAATACAAATGGTGGCGTTATGCTGCGGATATCAATTCTCTCACCATAATATTTTCCTCTACTATTCAAGAACCAGTTGAAGTTTCTGCAGTAAATTTGTTTTTAAAAACCAAATTGTAATACAGTTGCTGACCTCACGTTTTACATACATTTAATGGTTTCTCTGCAGTTTGTAAGTCTCCTTGCCCAGACACAGTGATATATAATAAGAGAACGTGAAGGTCGATTTTTCTAGTGCAGTCCCTGATAACCATGTGATAACCATGAATCAGGACTGGAGCAAATAGGTGCCAGCCTGCATGTTAATGAGTAACTCCAGCAGGTATCTGGGCGGCATAGCAATGGAAGAGTCTGGAGGGAAACATCCGGTGTTTGTCTAGGTTAAGAGTTTCTTTTTTTTTTCTTTTATTGATTTGGCAGAGAGAAACATGGATTTGTTGTTCCACTTATTTATGTATTCATTGGTTGCTTCTTGTATGTATTGGGACAATGCTCTAACCAACTGAGCTACCTGACCAGGGCAAAGAGTTTCCTGTTGAAGTCATGAACATGTTGGCAGGGTCACCACCCACAAACTCTGGGACAGGCAGAGCAATTGATTTAGCTTCCTCCCAGATCTTAATAGAGCTGAATATTTTGCTCCTTTGACTGGTAGCCAGCAGCTCGGGCATTTTAGAAAGTCTCATTTATGATGTGCATTTGGTGTATTTTATTCTCCAGTAGTACATGTCATCTGGCTGAAGTGTAAAATAGTTGCACAGATATGCTCCTCAAGAATCACACGAAAATGCTCGTCTATAGCACCAGCACCAGGCTCTTCTTTGGCCAACCGATACTACTTCATCTGGGGTTTGGGGAAAGGGGTGAATCCCCAGTGCTCTTGGGTTCACACTTCTTGGCTTCATGGGCCAGAGCCACCTTTGCCATGGCACAGCCTTGGGTACCTTAGGAGGGGAGGGGAGGGATGGGCTCAAGTGTAGAATTTGGGTCCCTGCCAGTTAGGCAGCTTAGAGAGCAGCTGAAGTAGCTAACTGCCTTCTAGTCATTTTGTTGTTGTTTTTAATTTTTAAAATATATGTCTTTAACAAAACCACAATCATAACATGTAGCTGATTTTTTTTTAATCGTGACTTTTTTCCCACATGGAATTTTATTATGCTTGTTATCTCAAATCATTGACAGGTCCTTGTTTTAAAGCCTGTCTGCCCTTCTGTCCTGTGGCTGCACAGGCCTCTCTATTATCGGGCATTTAGGTTATTTCTAGTGTTACCTGTTGCAATAAAGTTATTAAAATAAACCAGAATACATGTGTATGTTTATTTTACCTGAAAAAAAAAATAAAATTCTTAGCAAGTTGCCCTCCTAGCCGTGATCTATTCTCTCTCTGAACACTTAGTCTTGGAGTAGAGAGTGTTAAGTACTGTCCTCAGGATCTGGGGGACCTGGGGAATGAAGGCTTGAAGCAGAGCCCAGAGCTCAGAGGCTGCAGGGGAGTTGGGGCTCAGCGATGGCTGCAGGTCAGAATCACCCAGGAGCTTTTTCAAAAGAGCCTGGGCCTCTGCCACAGAACACAATTTTATTGGCCTGAGTAATAGTTAATTTTTTTATTTTTTAAATAACGCTCCTCAAGTAATTCTACTACACAGCCAGTGTCCTAAACTAATTAAAAGGATTACTTTTCATTCACTATAGGGTCAGTTGCACTATTTTTTTAAAATATGTCTTTACTGATTTGAGAAAGAGAGGGAGGGAGAGAGAATAGATAAAAGAGAACCAGGGATTGGCTGCCTCCTACGCACCCCCTACTGGGGATCAAGCCCGAAACCAAGGCATGTGCCCTGACTGGGAATTGAACCGGTCACCTCTTGGTGCATGGGTCGACGCTCTAACCAACTGAGCCACATCAGTCAGGGCCACAACTTCTTTCGTCTTGTGTCTTCCTGTTTCTTTATTGGCACTCTAACAAAATGACAGCGAAACCTAAAGAAGCGACCTCCTGGGGGACGCATAGAAGATCGCCTCGGAGTCCTTGCATTCCTAAAGAGGTCTTTGTTCTCTCGCCAGAAATAGGAATCTCAGTCCGCAACAGTTTTCCCTTAGAACATATAGACTTTTCTCTGCCGTGTGCCACGTGTCCGGTGCACCTTTGAGAAATCTGGAATCCGTCTAATTCTCAGCCTTTTGTAGATGCCCTGTTTTATTCTCTTTGCAAACACCTAGGATCTCTTTATCCCTGTTAGTGAAATTTCATTAAAATATGCCTGAGAATATAGGTATATTACAGTTGACCCTTGAACAACTCGGGGACCTGGGGTTCCAACCTCCTGCACAGTCAAATCCTTGTATGACTAGTGAGTCCTCTGCACACACACATTCCCAGCCACAGAGTTGACCCTTGAACAATGTGGGTTTGAACTGCGTGGGTCAGTTGCAAAACAAAATTTATATTTTAACTAGATGCACACAGTTCACACCCACTGTGTTCAGGGGTCACCTGTGGTTCTTCTCTTTTTCAGTACAGTCCCTTTATTGGGCTCTGGCAGCTGAAGATTCCTGATTACCTCACGTTTCAGAGACATTTTCTTTTTTTGTGACTTTTATAGTTTCCTGCCCTATGGTTTCTTAGTTTTCTCTGTAGAAACTTCCACCAGACAGAATTTGGTCCTTAGTGTCTTTTACCTTCTTTCCCATTTCCCATTCCTACTTCTTGGGTCCACAATCCAGGGAATTTCCTTGCTGTTATTTTCTAGTACTTCTACCTAAGGTTTTATTTTGAAAGTTGCATTATTAATTGCAAGCACTTTTTCACTTCATCAATTCTTTTTTTATTGCACCCTGGACTTGCTTTATGGATAGAGGAGCTCCTTCACGCACACACACGCCTGCACACACACGTACCGTTTTCTCTAGTCAGAGTTCCGGCCCGTTTATCTTGGGTTTCGTTTTCCTGACAAGACGGGCAACCCCGTGGGGCCCAGTCATAGTGACTAACAAGCACCTGAGCTGCCGAGTCTAAGAGGACGGACACTTTCTGCTCCGTCACCTGGGCACGTCAGCCTGATCGTGTGTTCAGGCCTGTTTCCCTCAGGGAGTTCTCTCTCACCGAAAGGCTGAGGGGTGTGCTGTGTTCATTCGTGGATCCTGAGAGGAGACAGCAAACTGCCACAGTGAGCCCGGCTCTACTTTGGGGACACTCAGGACCACTGTGCTGTCCACTCTCACCTGCTGCCCCGTACTTGGTCCTTGCCACTCCAGCCCCCATTCCTGTAACGCTGGGCTCCCACCTGTCGTAGCCCCGCCCTGCACACATTCAGAGCATCTTGCATTTCACCTGTCACCACACTGCCTTCCACTTTCCATTCTAAAAATTGGTGGCTTCGTTGCTAATGTCTCTTCTATGGCCCGTTACTCAACTTTGTTACTGTTCCAGGGAGGCCTAAGAAGGAAGGAGGGGAGATGGGCTCGTGGGTTTCATTTTGAACAGGAAGCTTGAGAGCTCTCCTGAAATCCAGTGATTTCTCAGCCCTATTCCAGCAGTGGCCAGTCACCTCAATGTCAGCAGGATGCTCAGGGACCACCAGCGGGGGTATTTGAGAGCACCGAGGGGACCCTGTACGGAGGGCCCCAGCTGCACCTGGCCCCTCTCAGCCAGCTCACACCCACTAACCCTGCCTCTGCTCGCAGGAGATCCTGTCTGCCTGCTGGGCTTTCGACCTGCAGGAGAGGCCCAGCTTCACCCTGCTGATGGACATGCTAGAGAAACTGCCCAAGCTGAACCGGCGGCTCTCCCATCCCGGGCACTTCTGGAAGTCTGCTGAGTAAGTACCCCTTCAGTGGCCAGACCCGCCAGCCAAGCCTTGGTGGCCTCATGCAGGGTCTTAGAGGGCACCGCCTGCCCTGTGTGCCCAGGGCTGTGGGGAATACTCAAAGCAGGTTAGCCAGAGGTGCCTCATCCCTCCCCAGTGACACCAGCGTCTCATTTACCATGTTTATTTCGGAGACTCCTTTTGACAGGGGAATGTCTCTAGTTGTCCTCTGTGAAAACTTCCGTATCACTGTCCTCACATAAGTGCTCAGGCTGGGCCCAGGCAGAAGAGTCTGCCCAGGACAGGGCCAGTTGGAATCAGAGCATCTTGGAGACAGAGCATCGCCAAAACCAGCAGAGTGGCCGTGGCTTAAAATGTTTCAGACTCAACACAGAGCTTTCTAGTCCCCATACCAGCCGCCTGCTATGGGGACCACGTGGCCTGGGTTTCTGTGGGACTTTGGTGCCAGCAGCCTGTCCCGCTTCTGTTTAATCACACTGTCCTGTGCACCCAGTGGAAACCTGTCATCGCCGGGTTCCATCTCATTCCCTTTCTCCTTTGTCCCTCTGGCCCCCTCTGCCAGACACTCAGAAACAGACCCTGCGCTGCCACAGACGCTGAGAATCTGGGGAAGCCCATCCGCGTTGCAGGCCTGTTTCCAGAGCTTTAACAAGGGGGTTGGGCACGATTGTGGGGTACCAACATTTGTAAAAAGGAAATGTTTTAGGCTTTTCACGCTAAGAGGGAAATCGAGTTGCAGCTCCTATCGCTGGGATTGGGGTGCTCCCAGCCGCAGTGTGGAGCAGTGACACCACCACAGACAGTCTCTGTCCCAGCGACTCAGCACAGCTGTCAGGTGTGGGAGCAAGCTGGCCTTGCTCCAATCAGACTCTATTCATGGCACCGAAATGTGAATTTCATGGAATTCCTACAAGTCATGAAATAGTCTTTTGGTTTTCACCCCAACCATTCAGAAAGGTAAAATCATTCTTAGCTTGTGAATGGCACAGAAACAGGTGGCAGCCACATGTGGCTGGACCCCTGGACAGGATAAATGGTTTTAAACTTTTTTTTAAGGCAAAGAGCACTTTCTGAAGGAGAAATCTCACACAGCCCTAATACAGAAACAGATAAGATGGAGCTGCTCTTGATGGAGCGGGGGCAAGAGCCTGTCTGCCCCACACCCAAGGTAGTTCCTGAGGCACCAGCTGCTGTACATGGGTGTGGAGGCCCTGCAGCCACGTCACTGAGCTCCTGGAGCTCACGCTTGCCCAGGGGTGTGGTGGTGGCACACCTGTTATTCTAGAGAGGGACAGGTGGTAAATATATGAGGCTTAGGGGTCTCTGTCACCTGTTCTTTGTTGTTTTTTTAAACAACTCTTTAAAATAGTCAAAACCTTTTTGTGGTCAGGTTTGGCTTACACATAGTTTGCTGGCCCCTGTCTTGAAGACAAACCAGGCCAGCTTCAAGTTGTGGGGGAGGGGAGGCCCAGAATGGGTTTTCTGACCAGAGGCTGCAAGTAGGAGAACTTTGCCAATTTGGCCAGTTGCAGGGATTGTCTGGAGGAGTGAAAATTTGTGGTTAGGGAATTTGTTCTCAAGATGGGTCCGAGTCCAGTACACATGGGGGTCACAGAATGTGACCATTAGAGCTGTGGGTTTTACCCAGCCATTGCTGAGTTCCTCCTACACACCTAGGAGACAGAAGGCCAAGGCCGGGCATCGGCTGGCCAGGAGTTTACAGTCTACTTGGGGATAAAGACAAGCAGACATACACTGTATGTCTACGCAGCAGGACTCTGTCTTGTCACCTCTGTACTCCCCACCCCTGTCACAGCCCCAGGAACAGAGCAGTTGCTCAGTAAACGTTTGATGGGTGAGTGAGTGAATGAGGGGATGATTACAATATGCTGGCTGCTATGACAAAGCACAGCCTCTATGGGAGCAGGGATGGGCCCTCTGCTCACCCAGGGAGCTTGAGGAAGGGTCTCCAGCAGAGGAGTCATTGGAGCTGGGCTTTGAACAGAAGCTGGGGCTTCTCCTGGACTTGCAAGAAGTTCAAGGGTCTGGCTTGTCAGACCTTGGGCAACTCATTGAACAGCCTGGGCCATGATTTTCTCACCTGCAAACGAGAAAGCTGTGCTGGGTGACTGCCACATTCAGGAGATGGTTACAGGTTCCCTAAAGACCCTATAGGCCCCCCCCCCCC